ACACACACACACACACACACACACACACACACACACACACACACACACACACACACACAGCACATCCCTGAAGCACACAGAAGAAACTTAAATCGTTTGACCAGGACACTATGGATTTCTTTATAAGAGGTCAGAAAATATAGAAAGAAAAAAAACTGATTCTTGTGTAAAGCCATAATCAAAACATTGTAAATGCAAATGCTCACTATCATTGGTTCAGATTTGCACTGAAGAAAAAAAAAGAAAAGAAAATATTAAATATCTTAGTAAATATCAGGAAAGTGATAAGGCTTAAATCTTTCTCCAGTTCGACGTGCCTCCCAAATATGATTCCTAATGTCGGAAGTTTTTCCCCCAGGTGCCAAATATCCAAATATCCGTGGAGATCGACTGGTTCACTGTGTGTCTGCTTGAAAAAAGCCCTGATTGTCAGAACAAATTGTAAGAATATGGTTGTTGTTTCCTCGCCTTAAAGCTAGTCCCATCAGTTTCCACTCTCATCTATTGTCCCCTTCGGCCGTGTCAGAGTCCCGTGTTACAAATCCGCAGCTGTGCTGTCCTGTTTTGGTTTTCGTCTCTGCATCCGGTCCTCAGTCACTCCGAGTTGCAGTCGACTGGAGAATTAATGCACAGGAGCCCGGGGATGCTCAAAAGGGCTGTAAAGCTTATATCCACACTCGATACACTCCAAGCCCCTCCAGCGTCAGTACACGTCGGAGCTCGCAGGGCTGACAGAGCTGCTCTTAACAAGTCTACTTTCTAGATGTTTCTCTGGGCAGTGAGGTACTTGAGAGCTGCAGAGCCATACTTCCTGGACAGATCCTGGTGGAACTCATCCTTCAGGGTGTTCAGACAGTTGCGGTAGCTGGAGCTGGAGCGAAATTTAGAGATGTCGAAGCTGGGAGCGTGGGGCATGTGGATCATGAAAGCATTCGGCAGGACCATCAAGTCATACTCCTGAAAAAAAGAAAGAGATGATAAATGGAGAACAAATGCATTTTCAAATGGCTTTCAGCCTCCACTCACAGTTTGGGTAAGTTTATCAAAACACGATGGGACGGGTTAAATACTCCCTTTAAGAATATTAATTTTATGCTACAGTCACGCGGGGGAAAAGCCAAAAATGATGACCAAAATTATCGAGAGTGTGTACACTGAACTTGCAATCTTTGGTTGCCCAGGTCTGCAACAGGAAGGTGATAAAATGGCAATAACATGGAGTTCATCTGTTATCAGCTTGAAATTTAATGGGGACAGGCTGGCAATTACATGCAATCTCTTTGTGACAATATGGCAATTAACTGTGATCCATTGGTAAAAAATTGCATATCTTTCCCATTACACAGAAATTCATATTAAATCTCAAACACACATTGCTCCACAATATGGTGAATGGATGTGGACAATGCTTCATTTTAGATTTAGGCTCCATACTGCATCATGGTTAGATGGCTGCTGGAACACAGTCATTTCCCAGCTTCTGGGATGCATAAACTGTACGTTATCTCCCACGAGGAGCATGGTTTTGGTTCTGCTGGAAGTCTTTTTCCTGTTAAAATATGGTGTTATTTTTGTGCCACTATTCTGAGCGCACGTAAAAAAAAAATTGCAGGCGCAAGTGTTGCATTTTGAGGAGAAATGTATTTTGAGGGAAGAAAAGCTAAATTTGAGTGAGCCAAATTCATTGCTGCGTGCAAAAACGTATTTCAGTGTTTGCTATTATCCACACACACACACACACACACAATAGCAGCCCCTCTCACTCAGTTTTTGCATTTGCGCTCGCTCCCAATGTGTTGCTCGCGCTCTCAACATTTCTGCCCGTGCGCGCTCAGCTCTTTCTGTACACCGTTATATTTGTGCCACAAAACCAGCCAATCACAGACTTGGATGCAAAAAAATCTGATTGGCTGTTCTGGTCTCCAATCAGCTCGAAATGACGAAATGCAATATCCCAGAATGCATTTCGTCCCAAACTCAAACGAGGCAGTGGCGGAGGAACACAGAGTGGCGGAGTTTGAAATATTACTCTTTCTGGGTCACATAATAAACTTTTAAGATATTTTCATGCGAGAATGGTGCTGTGTAAACTTAAAATCTCTGCTCGATTCATCAAGACATCACATATTTGCATAAGTGCTCTAACGTTTTCGGAGACGCCTGTTAACCACCAGCTGACTGGGTGGGAACTCGGGTTAAACATGATGTATGAAGCTGAACTGACAAAAATTCGGCCGACTACACCACCATAAATCATAAAGCCTTTGAACTAAAACGAACGATGTTGTGACAGTGATGTACACATGTATGATTTGTATCAGCTTCATGTTTCCAAACCGATATCATGGTCAGCAGCTTTTACAGCTGTGGCTCCAGCAAACATCAGCTGATACTAGAAAGTAATATTAAATAAATTCTAACAACAGCTGATCAAGCTTAAACGTGCTGCTGTTGTTTAGCGCGACATCTGCTGGTTCCCTGTTTCTGGCGCGAAGTGGGTGATAAGCAAACAAGAGAGACGATCAGCTGATCATTGATAAGTTTCATGATTGAAGTAGCAACAGAAGAGGGAGGGGGGAGAATGAGAGAAGAAGAGGCAGCTGCGCACCAAAGACAGAATAACTCCAGATTTGGTGTCTTTTTCATTCTCACTGAAGTCCGGGACGAATCGCGTTCCTTTTCCCCTCAATACGGATGTATTGTAATTGGTCCAGCCCAGAGTTGATCATGACCATTTGGCTAATCCACCACCTTTCATTGTTTATACTGTTACAAAAACAAACAAACAAACATAAAAATGAAAAATCATCATCGGCCCACCAGGCATATGTCCAGTATGCCCAGTGGCCAGTCCAGCTATGCGATCAGCTGGTGGTTAACAGGCATCTCCGAAAACGTTAGAGCACTTATGCAAATATGTGATGTCTTGATGAATCGAGCAGAGATTTTAAGTTTACACAGCACCATTCTCGCATGAAAATATCTTAAAGTTTATTATGTGACCCAGAAAGAGTAATATTTCAAACTCCGCCACTCTGTGTTCCTCCGCCACTGCCTCGTTTGAGTTTGGGACGAAATGCATTCTGGGATATTGCATTTCGTCATTTCGAGCTGATTGGAGACCAGAACAGCCAATCAGATTTTTTTGCATCCAAGTCTGTGATTGGCTGGTTTTGTGGCACAAATATAACGGTGTACAGAAAGAGTTGAACGCGCACGGGCAGAAATGTTGAGAGCGCGAGCAACACATTGGGAGCGAGCGCAAATGCAAAAAATGAGCGAGAGGGGCTGCTATTGTGTGATAATAGCAAACACTGAAATACATTTTTTGCACGCAGCAATGAATTTTGTTCACTCAAATTAAACTTTTCTTCGCTCAAAATAAATTTCTCCTCAAAATGCAACACTTGCACCTGCAATTTTTTTTTACGTGCGCTCAGAATAGTGGCACAAAAATAACGCCATATTAAAAGAGACTTCCTCCTTCCCACTAAGGATCCTGCTCATAGGGGATCACTGGGGTACTCTCTGTAATATAGTAGGACTGTTGCCTTATTTTAAAAAAAGCACATGAATGTTGCTGTGAAGTTGCTCAATCATTACATTACACTAAAGGCATACAATAATTTATATGACACTGAGTAAAACAAGCATCTGAGATCCTGTAGCCCAGCCAGACTCCCACATACTGACTGTGAGCTCATGTGACACACAGATTACAACTGCAATTAAATTTAATTACATGATACATTATGCATATGAGGCACAGACCAAAGACCATCAGCAAGAAGCTCGATGAGAAGGCGATTAATCAGAAATTGAAGAAATATAAAACGACCATCACTCTCCCCTCTGTCTGGACCTCCATGTGAGCTCTTGCCTCATGGGGTGAAGATGATCATGAGAAAGATGGTGGACCACAGACACCAAGAACACCACACTGGACTGATATCTAGCAGCGCTTGCAAGGTCCTTCTGTTCAAGGAGGCACGTGACTTAGGTTTAAAAATCCAAATGATTCAGAAAAGGCTTGGGAGAAAGCTGTGTAGTCATATGAAACCAAAATCAAGCTCTTTAGCATCAACTCGATGTGCCACGTTTGGAGAAAGAGAAAGTCAAGCATGGAAACATTATACTTGTCTGCTAAGGACGGGACAACTTCATGGACATCTGAGTTGACAAACGATCGGCGAGAAACACGAAAGGATTTACTTAAATCAGTTTATAACTGATTACTATCCCCCCACCCCACCCAGTCGTTCTTCCCCTGCCATCTTTGACTAGATCAGGGCTGCCCAATCCCAGTCCTTGAGATCTACTATCCTGCAGCTTTTAGATGCATCCCTACTCCAACACAGCTGAATCAAATGGTGTGATTACCTCTTCAGCATGCCATCAAGTTTGGCAAAGGCCTGATAACAAGCCATTCAGTTGATTCAGGTGTGTCAGAAGAAGGATGCGTCTAAAAGCTGCAGGACGGTAGCTCTTGAGGACTGGGATTGGGCACCCCTGGACTAGATTATTGTGTACATGAGCACGTTTACCTGTGCATCCAGCTCCATGATATGGGACACCTTGTTCCAGCCAAAGCCCACAAAGCGCTGGTCGTACTCAGGACATTCTCTTCTCACCACAACGTACGGCTCAAAGTCTGGCTCCCACTCCACCTTATAGGGCGTGGTGGCCGTTCGCCATTTGGCATAGTTGGTAGGTGCGTGACCCTTTGGCCACACATGATACCTGTGACAGGCAGGAAGAAGGAGACATTGCCAATTAAATAATCCTCCAATCATCATTGACTGATCAGAAAAGTTCATTTTGGTTTGTAATTAGAAACCTGAAGGTGTAGAGAGTCCCCATGTCCAGCATGGAGAGCAGCTCGGCTTTGGATTTGGGGAAGGACAGACGGTAACGAAGGGTCTCGAAAGCTGGAACCACCAGAGCCTTCTTTGTGTGAGCCATGTCCATCTGCACCATAGACTTTCTGCAGCAGCAAACAGGAAGTGAGAGGCAGCTAAAGCAGCATCTATCTACCAACAGGGATGACTAAACCCTCGAAAACAGGATTGCAGTCTGAAAGTTCAAAGTAAGTAAAACTTCCAGAAATGCCATGAATAATATATAATGAATGATTTTTGATTCTTGGTTAGGAAAACTACTCCAAAAGGATTTTATGCAGGACTCATGACTCACCTCTAATGCTGGGCTCAGACTACACAGCACTTTGTGATCAGTGCGTCTCCTATTAGGCGGATATAATCGAGTCAAAAACACTCGCAATGAATTGGCAAATAGACAGAAAACCTAGACCGAATCATGGCAGGAATATCCTGGTGAAAAGGGGGGAAACGACATCTCTTCTTTGTCCAATAATAATTTTAAGGAGTGTTAAAATATGTCTACTCTTGTTTTCAGTTCATCTTGTGTAGCAGGAGAGCGTCCTCACTGAGGAGCAAACACCATTTCCACTCGCAGCAATAAGGAAAATGAGTCAGCGCCGAACCAACGGATGTCACAGCGCAGCATTACAACCTCTAAGCACAGCGGAAAGTCAAGGTGTAGGCATCAGAGTTCATTACTCTATTTTATTTTAGTCAGTGGTAAGGTAAGGGTATCAGAAGTACAGTTATAACACCACATCTGTATGTAACACTCTTCAAAAAAACAAAAAAAACAAAACAAGCCATGAAAAGGTTTTCTTACAACAGGACAATTGGACTTACCTCAGGTAATCATAGAGACCGTACATTGGCAGGAAGTCCACGTCAGTCAGGAACACGTAGGGTGTGTTGGCATTCTTCAGGGCCACGTTCCTCACCAGGTTGACCGGGTAGAACTGGCCCTCCTTGTAGACAATGTGGTAACCCACGTTCTTGCGGTTCTTGAGGACCTCGGAGGCCTGGGCGTAACGCAGGAACTGCTGAGCCTCAGCGTCAGACATGTAGAGAGCTAGGCTGATGGGGCCTTCCCAGTGCTTACAGATGGCTTCCAGCATCTGCAGCCTGTAGCAGGCACACACGGTCATTTCACACATTTTAAAGCACACAGATCCAAGCCAGGAGACGATTACAGTACACGGGTTCAGTACCTGTCCATGGAGAGCTGGGCCACCAGAGTGATGTCAGTGTTGTCCTCAGTGGGCGTGTAGTCATACTGCAGGAAATACAGGTGAACTCGGTGCACTGTCAGTCGCTCTCGACGGAAGTCGTAACACTGATCGTCCTCGTCCAGCTCCTCCAGAGCCTTTTGTAGCTGAGCAAAAGTACACACAGTTACAACATCCATCCATCCATTCGCTTCCGCTTATCCTTTTCAGGGTCGCGGGGGGCGCTGGAGCCTATCCCAGCTGTCATGGGGCGAAAGGCAGGGTACACCCTGGACAGGTCGCCAGTCTGTCGCAGGGCCACAGTTACAACAATTAAATGTCATTTTCAATTTCCTTTATCTTCTAACCCAACGGTCCCCAACCCCCGAGCCACCGGCCGGTACCGGTCCGTGAGTCGTCTGTCATTAGAATAGAATAGAATAGAATTCCACTTTATTGTCATTGCACATGTCATAGGTACAGGGCAACGAAATGCAGTTTGCATCCATCCAGAAGTGCTTTAGCCATGATATAGATATATCTTCCTTCCTGTAGATGTCCTTTATGGCAGGAAGTGGTGCTCCGGCGATGCGTTGGGCAGTTTTCACGACCCTCTGCAACGCCTTCCGGTCCGAGGCAGAGCAGTTCCCGTACCAGACTGTTATACAGTTGGTCAGGATGCTCTCGATGGTGCAGCGATAGAAGTTCACCAGGATGTCTGAGGACAGGTGGTTCTTCCTCAGAGTCCTGAAGAAGAAGAGGCGCTGGTGAGCGTTCTTGACCAGCTTGGAGCAGTTGGTCGTCCAGATCAGATCCTCGGAGATGTGAACTCCCAGGAACTTGAAGCGGGCGGATGTGGGTCAGCATTCCTCCTGTAGTCCACGATGAGCTCCTTGGTCTTCTCAGTGTTAAGCAGCAGGTTGTTTGTGTCACACCACTCACCCAGACGATCCACCTCCTCCCTGTAGGTCACCGTGGTGTCATCTGCAAACTTAATGATGGTGTTAGAACCACCGGCAGGTCTGCAGTCGTGGGTGAAGAGGTTGTAGAGGAAAGGGCTCATCACACAGCCTTGTGGTACACCGGTGTTCATTGTGATTGTAGATGAGCAGCGATTATTCAGCCGGACATGTTGGGGGCGGTTGGTCAGGAAGTCCAGTATCCATTTGCACATGAGGGAACTGATGCCCAAGGTCTGTCAGCTTCCTGATGAGCTGTGAGGGGTGGATTGTATTGAATGCTGAACTGAAGTCTATAAACAGCATTCTGGCGTAGGTGTTGTTGTTGTCTAGGTGTGAGAGGACAGAGTGCAGTGCGATGGAGACTGCATCCTCTGTGCTCCTGTTTCTGGCGGTATGCGAATTGGTGGGGGTCCAGGGTGGGGGGAGACAGGATTTGAAGTGTGCTAGGACCAGCTGCTCTAAGCACTTAGTGATGATGGGGGTGAGTGCTACTGGGCGGTAGTCATTGAGGCTAGATGGGTTGGAGTTTTTGGGTATTGGGACGATGGAGGTGGATTCGAAGCAGGCCGGTACCACAGCGTGGGCCAAAGACAGATTGAATATGTCTGTGAGCACTCCTGCAAGCTCCCAAGAACACGCTCTGAGAACACGCCCGGGGATGCCATCAGGACCTGCAGCCTTGTGAACATTGATCCTGTTCAGCACCGCTCCTACATCGGTGGGGGAGAGAGTCAGAGGTTGGTGGTCTGGCGTCATGTCTGCTTTGGTTGTGGTTGTTGGATTCCCTCGCTCAAAACGAGCATAAAAGTTGTTGAGCTCATTGAGGAAGGAGACATCAGAGGATGCGGGGGAGGGTTTGGTGGTCCTGTAGTCTGTGATGGTCTGGAGTCCTTGCCACATGCGTCGGGGGTTGGAGTTGGAGAAGTGTTCTTCTACCTTCTTTTTGTAATGGTGTTTGGCTTTTTTGATGCCCTTCTTTAGATTAGCCCTGGCTGTACTGCAGGCGTGTGCATCTCCTGACCTAAAGGCGGTGTTGCGGGCCTTCAGGAGGAGACGAACATCCTGGTTCATCCAAGGCTTCTGGTTGGGGTACATGGTGATCCGTTTCTGGGTGGTGACACTGTCTGTGGTTTTGGAGATTAGGTGAGCAGTGACTCTCAGTAGTAGTGGAGTTCATGCACCAAGCGTTGTTAATATAAATGCACAAACCTCCACCTCTGGTCTTGCGGGAGTCATCTGCTAGCCTGTCGGCTCGGTGTGTGTGTTAAGGCTCGGGTGTGAAATTTATGGTTTTCAGGGTTTTTATCGTTATTTTTTTAATGTTTTTTATCGTTAACTCGGTTTTCCTGGATCTTTTCCCTAATATTATCAATGAATCTTCTTTTTTGGTACTGGTTTTATTTTGTTGTATTTATATGCAACACCTTAAAGGCTGGTCCGTGAAAATATTGTCGGACATAAACCAGTGGCACAAAAAATATTTTCTGTCTCTGTCTGTCCTAGCTCTCTCTTTCTTCCCCAAACACCCTCCTTTATCAAAAAAACAAAACAAAAGATAAAAACATATTGCAAACAAGATTTGTCCTGCAGACTAATCTCATGGGAATCGACTGGAAAACGATACATGCACATGTGTTTAGCTGACAGGTAACATCATAAATATTTAACAAATAAACTTCACTACTACTACTACTAGATACTTTTGGCAACAGTGGAAACCACGACGCTGCCCCCGTACAATATTACTCAGCAAAGGCCACAAAGTGAAGTAGAGACAGATCAGCTGACCTCAGCTCGGCACAGCCCTGAACTGGACGAGCAGATAAGAAAACAGGTGGATGTTATTGTTTCCTGCCTGACACAGTCTGAGTGATGTTTGAAATATTTTCCCCCAATGTTAAATGATTACTCTCAGATGTTTGCTACTGTCACAAATATCGCCCGTGTGTGTGTGTGTGTGTGTGTGTGCGCCAACCTTGACGCTCTCTGGACTGGCCTGCGTCGGGCAGCCGAACAGTTCCCGTCTCAGCAGGTTTCCATCATACTCTAAGAAGGTCAGGTAGAGGTTCCTGAAGAACTCCACGTGTTTGTTTTTGACGCGGAGCTTCTTAGGAGAGTTCCAGTGGATCACCTGAAACCATAACAAATGGTAAATGGACTGTATTTGTATAGCGCTTTTCTAGTCCTTAAAGCGTTTTGGGGTAAGCGCTTTACACAACCAGTCATCCACCCATTCACACACTGGTGATGGCAGCTACATTGCAGCCACAGCCACCCTGGGGCGCACTGACAGAGGCGAGGCTGCCGGACACTGGCGCCACCGGGCCCTCTGACCACGACCAGTAGGCAACGGGTGAAGTGTCTTGCCCAAGGACACAACGACCAAGACTGTCTGAGCCAGGGCTCGAACTGGCAACCTTCTGATTACAAGGCGAACTCCCAACTCTTGAGCCACGATTGCAAGTTTCTGCTACTCAGCCTGACGGCAGCCTGTGGCAGTGAACGACAAACCTGATGGTGCGAGCTGGCGTACCTTGAGGTCAGACACCTCGGTGTAACACTGCTCGGAGCGCGTGTGATCAGACAGCTGAACGTTCCAGAAGCAGGGAAGCTGGTGCACCAGGACTGGGTTCTGCTTTATGAAGGCGTTGAATATGTCCTGCACACAGACAACACACCGCTTTATCAAGAGCCTCGATCCTTTTAACACTAGGATTACTTTGTAGACATGCATAGATCAGAGCTGCTGATGTTTGTGATGATGTAAACAGAATCAAATTTGTGAAAGCATGACTCATCGTGGCCTCAGGTTCTAATTCTGCAGCCCTGCTCTCCAAGACAACAAAAAAATAGTCTTTAAAAAATTCAATAAAGCTCAACAAACACAAGACTGTAAAACACCAACAGCTCGTCAGTGCCAGGATGATGCCACTGATGAGCTGTATACGTGGGCGCCGAGGCGACGGAGTCACAATCAAAGGAGTCCTCACCCAGAATCAGTTACAGTGAAGGCCACAGACTGATCACGGTGTGTAATGAGTTGACAATCCTGTTTGGAGGTATCCCTAACCTGATCAGCGAGTGATGTACTGAGCATGCTCATAAGTTCCCTCTCTGCCGTCAGCCTCCACATCTGCTCCCAACCGATTCGCCGCAGTCTCTCCAAGTACAGAAGAATGACGCCTGAAACCACAAAGCAGGACACTGGCTAACAATGTGACATTAACTTAAAACGTTCACTTTGGGCTAAACGTTCACTCTTCAAACACTGAGGTTCTTTGTGCTGTTAGGAATGAGACGACATCAGGTTCTGTGCTGTTTGGAGCAAACCTGCCAGCCTCAGAGATTCGATCAAAAACCTGTTTACCTGTGTTGAAGCCTCTTCCCAGCGCAGGCCACGGTTTGTGGTTTTTCCATAAGTTGCCCAAGTACCAGTCACTCTGATTCTCCACCAGACCAATCACCTGCTTATCTGTGAATGAAACAACCATCAGCTGAGGAGCAAAAATTTCAGGAAACATTCTTCTTTTTCAAAAAGTTTTTCCCCTCAACAGTTCACAAACATAATAAACTTAAATGAGCGTCAGTGTTCACAGTAACCAACTGCTTTCATCATTCATTCAGCAAGTTTAAAATAAAATTCTAATTTCTTATTTGATAACTGATATCGAGGCGTCACATACTAAACAGCAGTCACTCTGCTGGCAGCGTCTGCCCGCTAATGAATCTAAAACCCACAGATACATCCGTACATCTGTGGTCTGCTTGAGGAGATTTTCAGTAACAGTAACTTATTGATGGTTTTCGATACGTGTGATTAGGGATGGGTATCGTTTAGGTTTTATCCGATACTGGTGCCAAATCAGTACTTTTGAAACGGTGCCGGTGCTTAAACGGTGCTCGAACCGGTGCTTAAAGAATGGAGAACACAAACTTTGTCCAAAAACCTCTCATGTTCAGCTGTTTTTTTTTTTTTTTTGTAAAAAGATAACAATGTTAGCCTTTTCTGCAGCTATGGGGCATATATGGTATCACTCTTGGCTGGAAGCAGGGCTTAAACAATGGAAAAAAAACACAAACTTTGTCCAAAAACCTCTCATGTTCAGCTGTTTCCCACTTTTTCTTTGGTCATTTTAGCCTTTTTGTCCAGGGTGAAGGGAGTATCTGCCATCAAACAAGAGGACAGCCGCATGTAGCTATGATCATGTTTGCTAGTTCACCTTACATGCATTAATGTAATAACGTGGTTAGCCTACTCAACGTAAATTACACTCGAACAACATTAAGCGACTCACGCAGAGAAGAACGGCTTCTGCTGCCATCATCATCCTCATCATTTCTGCTACACTGGCAGGGCTAGGGGCCAGGACTCTATTCTTCGGGTTTTTGGGGGATGTTGCTCCGGGTCCGATAACTGGCAACCCACCCAACGTGCACAGTGTGAGGTCTCGCAGCAAGCTATCAAATACGGCGCATTTCTCGGCTTTTAAAAAAAACGCTATGCGTCGCCAGGTGTTTCATCGGATTCTTGGTGTTACCTCCTTTGACAGTATCACAGTATCAGCTTAAAGCACTTGTTGCAGGCTGCTGAGTTTGCATATTTTGCTGTGAAGTACAGCCAGACTTTGACCGCTTCGCCTTGGACATTTTTAATCTGTAGCTCTGCTCTAACTGAACGTACGTACCTGGCCCCGCCTACTATCCTCGGAAACGTAAAATGATTGGCTAGAATCTAAAGTGTATCACAGCTCAGGGAAAAAAAAGCACCGAAATAAAGCACCGAAATGTGCGCTGCTTTTCGGTCTGGTTACTACCGTTTATGTCAGAACCGGACACCGGTACCCATCCCTACGTGTGATGGTACACAGCAATCCTAAAAATAAAAACAGCATTGATTTGAAATTTTCATAAACCCACAATTTATTCACAGTAGCACACAGAAAACAAAAGTTTAAATTGAGATATTTTATTATTTCATGAAAAAAAAAAAGCTCATTTTGAAATTGATGGCAACAAAAGAACATTTTGTAACTAATTAGGCTAATTGGCAACAGGTCTTTAACATGGCATAAAAAAGAGAAGCAGAGAGGTTCACAAATCTGTAAAAACTTCAACTTCAAATTCTTTGTGGAACAATTTCAGAATAATGTTCCTCGATGGAAAATTGTGTCTAGAGTACATAATATCATCAAGCGATTGTGTGAATTTAAACATTCAGACACATTAACACTCCAATGGATAGATCAGAGAGCAACTTGGGCTAAGACGGGGATCGAACACCAACCTTCCAATTAGCAGATAACCTGCTCAACCTCCTGAGCTACAGCCACACCACATAGTCAACACATCCTCTGGACTAAAGAGGAAATCGGTCAGCTGGCTTGTTATCAGCACTCAGTTCAAAAGCCCGGATCTTCGATTGTAGGCCGGTGCATTAGCGTCTGTGGAACTGGCAGCTGTTGTTACAAAGAGACCGAATGCTACAGTGCGATAAACATGTCCTGCTGCCATAAAAGTCAAAATGGGCTAACATTGTCTCATTTTAAATGTGGTATAGCGTGCCATGTAAATAAAATATGGCTTTATGACATTTGCAAATTGTTGGGTTCTGTCTTTATTTATATTTTAAGCACCATTCCAAGTTTTGGAATTTCACAAATTTCTCATTTATAGTTTGACATTTCTGTGTGTCAGACTTTTTGGAGACTTTTTTTTTTGTCAATGTCAGGTTTGAGGATCTCACCAGTAAACTTCCTAAAAATGCCCCAGAGTTCAGCGATGTCCGTAGCGAAGGTGATGTCTGTGTCCAGGACGATGACCTTCGACAGGTCGGAGGGCAAAGCTTTGGTTAGCGTCAGCTTCATCAAGCCGTAAATACCTGAGTAGTGTTTGTTGGGTATCCACGACACTTCGGACTGAAACGAGAAAAAAATGCAACAGTAACTCTTAAAGCTGTTACAGCTCTGAGCTGTTCATTATGTATGAGCGCAGTTCCAGTATGTGGGCTAAGACAAAGCCATATAAGGACATTCTGGCAAAGCCTCAATTTGTTGGGTTTTTTCCCTGTATCTGCTAAGAGACTCTTTTAATTAATTCTCCTGATTCTGAGTAATTGTATCTGCATAAGTGAATCATCTGCAAACATAATCGGCTTAGAGTCTTGGCTGTTTTTCCCTGTTTTAGTGTGAGTTAATGGAAGCTGAAGAGAGAGGCTGCGGGTCGAGGCTTCTGACAGCACAAAGGACTCATTGTTTAGCACTAAGACTGTGAGGGAGAGGAGAATGTGATGATGTGACGGGGGTGATGCAGGTTGGAAACACAAACAAATTCAGGCTTGTTCCCTCCCCACCACTCCGACAGAACAGTTATGATTTTAAAATAAATCGTTTGGCGTCTTTGTGCTCAAGCGTCACTTGACTTTTCGAACTTGACAAGCAGTCGTTTCTGTCGAGTCAAAGCTCCTGTGGTGATTGTTGTCTTTAAACTTCGAGGAGGTGGATGAGCGGCTCAGAATCACCGAGCAGAAGTCTTAATTCAGTGACACTTAATTGGATGTTTTGACTGTTTTTGTCCCAGTCCCAGTGTAGATGGTCCCACACTGCTTGGACACCGATCCATGACTGACGGAGTTCCACGTTCCACGTTCCATGGACGTCTTTACTGTCATCTGATATTTGGGGTTTTCTCTGTATTATTCTGGGGTTATCTTAAAATGTAACATGCCTTTGGGCAACTGTTGCTGTGGGGCAGTGGATCAGGCAGTTTATGTATCAATCCTGCAATTCATCCCAGGACTGAAGAGGGCAGCATACACCAATACAATTACATATACTCTTGTTCTACTCTATATCTGAAGGAGGCGGACGTCAACAAGCACTGGAAACACCACACATGCCAATGCAAAAAAGTACACGTGAAAGATCAAACATGTGAAAAACGCATGTTACCATTTCGAGACAGCAAATGTTTGCTAACATTATATAACTATATGAATGTGTTATATCAGGGCACCACTTTAAATACAATGATAACTCAACAATAACCTTACCTAGATCAAATGAGTGCATTTAACTTTATTTATACTTGGTTTCCTCACATACATCAACTGATCTGGCCTAAATATGGAACACTTGTACACCACTGTCTGCAAGCACTTGTGAGACTCGTAATCTCTAATATCATGCAGCAAAATTTCTGCCACAACTTCACCTACTTCCAAGGTGCATGGAGAGGATGAGAAACTAACAACGCATGAACTCCAGCAACACTTAAAAGTAAAGAGGAACAACTTTCTTAACTGACCAACATGTGTCGGCTTGTGGCTTTCATCAGGGTCATAGAAACAGATAACACAATTTGTGCTTAAATAAAGGAAACAGAAAAAAATTCAAATTAACCAATCACATCTTCATAGGTAAGCCAGCTGACAGCAGTTAATTGGTTAAGTCACAGGCCAAGTAAATACTGGACTAGACCATTAACGTAAAGGGGTGGGGGGCATAATCCCCACCTATCTTATCATGATACATCTGAGAAATACATAAAAAGAAAGAATGTTGAAATTATACAGAAAAATATTTATCCTTAGATTCATGAGAATGTTTGATGTGATTTCCAGTGTTTGTGTGACCGTGGCCAGTGAATTAACAGGTCAAGAATAATACAAGGAGAGCAATGACTCTGTCAGTATTCATGTTCAGGCTTGAGGCTCCGGTGTTATTAAAACCAGTGTTCCTGTAGCTGTGTGGTGTATGTGGCACAGGAAATCAACAAAAACTAAGATCTCTGACTACAGAGATGACATTTTCTGAATCTGTGCATCATAACATGTATAAAACTTTGAATGTATAAAGTTTATCTTTAAATTGAATAAACCTAAGAGCTGCATGTTCAAAATAAACAACGTAGCATAACTTTAGTTATTACTTAACGTTTTTGGGCCGTAAGTCTGCATAACTTTTTAAAATAAAGTCAAATTTTACAATGTGTTGCATTGTGCCTTACCAGAAGGCTGGGAACCCCTCAGCACCAACATGAGTACAATCGAAGCTAAATGGGAGCTTGACCCTTTATCTCATCCTAAAGTAAGATCAGAGAGCTTTAACGATGTTCTGATCTCTGCTAAAGTGACAAATGATCTGACAAGCACATAGACACTAGCTGTGACCTCCTCTGTCAGACTCTTAGAGATGCATACTGTACCGTGCAGCTCTTATTCTGTCTCCCACTCTTTGATGCTCTGCAACTATTCTGGTAAAGATTTGGAAATATATTCAACGGTACCCTCACAACTTGCTGTTGCTTTGAACTGTGCAGGTTTTCTTTTGATGTGATAAATTTAGGGTCTGACTTTGACTCACCTTGTCTAACAGACAACAGGAAACAGGGCTGTGTTAATGTATTTGGATGAGGTTTGTGTACTTTCAAGGCGTGCTCTTACCTTGAGTTCATCTGCATCGTAGAAGCTGACTTGCACAGATGGAACCATCCAGGACTGGAACAGAGAACTCAGGATTCGATTTGCTACTGTGTCAGTGATAAAATGAAAGTGAAGAGGATTTCTCCTGAAAAATAAAAAAGGCATCAAGGTCAAGGAGGTCCTTCCAGTAGGAGGAAAAAAATGTCAACACGTTCCACGGCAATGCAATACTGTAATCAGATTACATTTTTCAGTATGACAGTGATGTAACGTGCTACGGTGATATGGGCATCTCTTTTACTTGTAGTGCACAAAAGCACATCAGTACAACGGTAAAGGGCAAACTGCATCTGGGACAGAAACAACTGCGTTTTACTGCTAACACAAAGGTAACCTGCTAACACAAAGCTAACATGCTAAAACAATGCTAACAAGTTAACACAAAGCTAACGTGCTAACACAAAGCTAACACGGTAACACAAAGCTAACGCGCTAACACAAAGCTAACCTGTTAAAATAAAGCTAACATGCTAACACAAAGCTAACACGCTAACGTAAAGCTAGTGCGCTAACACAAAGGGAAGAGCTCAGAATAACATTAGAGCTAAGTGTATGCCAACCGCAAACCACACCTGTACATGTGTCTGTAGCAGAACCTCTTTGGCTATCACTTTGAAGTTTCTTTGGACTGGTGTTAAACTGCTTTTTTTGTTGCTTTTTGTTGTGGGTTTATTCTATTATGTAACGCCAGCAAAATGATCAAATGCGTGTCCTTGTTAGGATAGGATTTTGTGTCTGTGTGGGACTGTAGCCTGAGGTTTATATAGTATAATGAGTACTTAAGCAGGATACTGCATAAATTTAAAAAGAAGTAAGTAATCTGTAGTACATTTCTTCTCTTGAATAATAACCCCACACAGGGTCGCTGATAAAGCTGAATACTAGTAGTTATTCATGTTAGCTAAGGTTAGCCCTCTAAAAGCATCACCATCATTAGCCTTCTAAATTAGCAGCCCTCTGCCCATGGAGCTGCTATCTTCATCAACAAGCTCTACAGTTTGCCTGCTTTGAACAAAAGCTTGAAGCAAGAGTGCCTTTATGGGTCTTTATCTCGTTTTTGATTATCCAATTTCCCCACAAACATTTCTTTTTGTCCCTTATCACTTTTATTTAATATCCTTTTCTTTTTATTTGCCTTTAGCATGTTTGAAGAAGGCTTCACAAATACTTTAGCTTCTTCTTTCTCCTGTACAATCTCGTGTTAACTCTAAAGTCATGTATATCTGAGAATATCTAGGTAAAAGCGGGTTTGTATGTAAATCTATTACAAAAAGAAGAATTTTGTGACCCCCTTTGGAATGACCAGGATTTTTGTATGAATTACTCAAACAAATCTTCTTCCAAGTCACAACATAGACAAACATAGTGTGACTAATAAATAAAATAAATAAACCTATTATGTATTGACTAATGACTAATCATTCACATTGCTGGTTCTTTAATGATTGCACATTGTGCTCTCGGTATGCTCTTCACAGACTGTCCATTTCTAAAGAGAGCAGAAAAAGTCATGAATTTTGACCATTTGTAAACACTTTGTCTTTTTGAACACAATTCTCTAAAAATGTGTTTGTAGCATTTTGTAGATTCCTATATCTTAGTAACACTTTTTCCAACTTCCTGTAAACATTGTAGTCACTGAGAATGGTAAAGAGTAGATTTGAAATGAAATTAGTTTGTCAGATTTACTTTAGTGTTTCTTAAAGGCTGGGGTAAGTTATGATTACATTACAGCTAAGTGACATTAGTTAGCATGATGAGATTATGTCAGTTTGAAAGTGGATTGCGTCCTCCTTGCAACTATGAAAAAATGGTGGCAGCAGGTTGTTGCATTGCATTTTTCCGTATTTGGTGACCTGCAAGTAGTTGCAGTGACCAGCTAGTACAGGTGTGAAACCTTCAACATCAAATGAGCCATTTTAGACCCTTCGGGGGAAAGAGCAGCACACAGATGTGCTGGCGGACAGATGACAGATATAAGGGAATAAATCAGTGTTTTTATTACTAGCCCGTAGCCAGATACGGCTCTTCAGCCAAAGGTTGCTGACCTCTGACCTAGCGGGAAGCAACCTGTCTGAGCAATTGGAGACAGAACATTCAATTTCTAGCTTGTTTAGCTGATGTGACCAAAGCAAATGAAGGCTAAATGTTTGGTTGACAGAAATAATATTTTGATCAGCTGAGATAATTTAAGTATTGTACATCCCTTTTTGCTCATTTTTTAGCATCTGATTGCATCCATTTAATTAAACCAATGTAGTATACTTTTAGATCCTTTCAGTAATAACCTTAAAATGTCTGTTAAAATGTGACTCTTATGTGATCTAAACCATAACATTTTCACTTTGTCTGTTTCCTGTTTAAGCTGAATGAATCTAACTGGGAAATGGGACCACCTCAGCACAGACTTTAGCCTGCAGCAACTACCAACCAATCAAACTGCTTGATTTAATTTCTACAGTGTAAAGGTCCATTGGCTCATTTTGTTTCAGTCTCTTCATTTTTTAAATAACTCTTTTTAGGGTGACCTTCAAAGAATACATTTTTGTTTACAGAAAACCTAAACTAGAGGACTGACACAAATTTAGACTCACCTGTGAAAGAGGACCGACTTGACCAGTGTGACCACATCTCTGCTGGCGTTATGACCGGCACAAACGCACGCTACATGGATCAGCTAAAGGAAAAAAGAAGAAGAAGAAGCTCTGAGTTTTGGCAAAAGGCAGCCTGTAGCATGAATACTTCCCATTATGGGCGCTAACAGCTTCCATCACAAGCTCACAGCAGACTAGATGTGACTGCAGTTATAGATCTGCCCTATGTGCTAATTCACACACAGTGTCATCAGTCTTCTCCTAAAGTACTGAAGCTATATTGCTCTGCTGGTGCGTGTCACTCGCCCCCGTCTCTGATGTAAACTTTCATACTGAGATTCTCAAACATATATGATTTCACAACACTCGCTTTTCAGCAGAAGAGACTTTGAAAAGTTGGAGCTCAAAGGCAGCAAATCACATCAAAGAACAAAGTGTTCCCCTGGATTTCAGACCCTGCTAACCCACCTCTGCCTCACCCATTAATTAGTTTGAATGGACCACTGTGATTCGCTGAGCTTCTTGTTCAGGAAATTCTCTCCTGTTTGTGATTAGCCATCAGTGCAGCTGTTAGTGTGACACACTAATGTGTGATCCCATCAGAAGTAGTACTTGTTAAAAAAAAAAGAGAGATTTGTCACCGAAGTGAACTATGTGTAATGAGGTAGTTGCACCCCCCCGGCCTCCAGGTGGCGCATTGCTCAGTGAGACAGAATAGCGAGGTCATAGGTCCTCCTCTCCAATTGACTATGTGCACGTTAGCATATGCTACTTCCGGTGCGGAAACTCCTGTGGGGAGCTTTGTTTCCGGTGTCCTATTAGCGCCTTGTTTACCGTCCAAAATAAGTTAAGCAAATGAATGAATCAAGCGGCGATTTACATTTCTATAGATGTCTTGGGCATTTACCCAATGTATCTGTAAATGATGTTCATCGACTTGTCGATATTTTTCCCCTGCGCCTCAGAGCAAAAGAGAAAAGGGATTCAAATGCTATATTTCTCAGCTGTCCCTCGTTTATCGCGGGTGTTATGTTCTAAAAATAACCAGCGATAGGTGAAATCAAGTAGCCAATTTTTTTTTTTGACGGTGCAAAACGTTTCGTGGACATCGTGGACATACAGTACTGCACTTCAGAGTCACACTGCTAACGATCGATGCAGCGATTCTGTACTGTACAGGAGAGACGTCACGGAGGAGATCGTCTGCAGCGATCAGGACGCAGGACACAATGTGACGTAAAAAAAGCATGCAAACTTGCACTAAAAAATCCGCGAAACAGCGAGGTGAAAGGTGAACCGCGTTATAGCGAAGGACCGCTGTAATTTTGAAGGTAAGTCACAACATACCCTTCGTAAATACTAATGTATAGAAACCGTTACCAGCAATCATTCATTTTTTGTGTGGCTTTTTTCATGGTTTGTTAACATGCTGTGTAGGTGTGTACTTGACTAGCTGATATCGACATAACAGGGGAAACATCTGGTTTGACTGTCCTTCACCTGTAGTTTGAATGCTGAACATTTGCCTGTTTAAATCACAAGACCAGTCACTATACAAAGATACTTCTGAATGTGGACGATGTGTCTTCTGCTGCAGTGATGTAAACAACTGATCGATCTAAACGCTTTAAACATCAAAATTGATCATTACCTTCTGCTCTTTGTAACTTAACGCAATCTTTCCGTTTTCGAGTTTTGGACATGATTTTGGAGTATATCTTTGCAGTAGTGACTGACCGCAAAGTAAAGCTACCGAAAATGCACAACCCTACATCCAGTCTCAAACCAGGAAGTTAGCATTTTCTTGTGCACATAGTCAATATGGCAGAAGCAAGGCAAAGAGAAACTTCACCAGTCGCCTCTGTCTCATCATTTCCCTGTTTTGCAGGTTTGTAACCGGTAAAACTATATTAAAACTGAATAAGCTCCCTGTTGTGTCCTGATATTGTGAATATGAATGTTAATCTGCTGTTGGGAGTGAAGAACGACTGTTTACTGGTTCTGAAAAGTGATTTTGAGAATGTTAAAGCTAAAGCTAAGCCTGCATGACTCTTTCATGTATTTGTGAGCTACTAAGCTGAATTGGTTTAAGACCAAGCACTGGTATGTTGGTTAAAACAATCAGAATACATAGGTATTTATGTTAAAAGTTAGAGGTAAAAATGTATTTGAACATGCATTTCATATTGTTTTGAAATGTCATTCAGAGAGAATAGCTGAGTAGATGATTTAATGGTCGCTACACATGAAGTATTTTTGTTTTCCATGTAAAGATTGTGGCATTGCAGCTTGAACATACAGACGGTTGTATTCTTATTTCTGTTGCATATGGAGAATGTTGGTGATGCAAATTGAAAATACATGTGATTGTATAGATAAATATGGCAGAAGCGAGGCAAAGAGAAACTTCACCAGTCGTCTCTGTCTCATCATTTCCCTGTTTTGCAGGAACATTTAATCTGTTTTACCGGCCCAAACTCTGGGTCAGTTACATTAGCAGAGTTTATCCTGACCTCACACTTCTGGACGGTGGGTGAGCGGGGACACCCCGTGTGGTTGTTCTTCTCCTCGGCCGTGTTGTCGCCATCCTCGGGCCCCGTGTCTGCAGACGCACCCCACTGCTGGTTGCCATAGTTACCATCCGCTGCCTGGCCAGCCATACCCTGCGATTGGCTGAGCTGCAGGCGGATCTGTCGGTTCTCCTCCTCCACCTCCCGAACCCGAGACTCGAGGACGGCCCGCTCTAGGACCTGGGCAGCTGGAGTATCCGCCAGGCAAGGAGTCAGGAGAAGGGAACGACCATCTAAGGAAGGAAAGTGAGGCACTGTCAGGCTGTCTGCAGGAAGCAAACAACATGTAACCTGTGCATTGCTTTTGCTCTGCAGTTAATAAAAAAGAACTCTTCTTTTTTTTACTACAGCCTTAACAATGCAAAAACATTTGGCGCATGTCTTTTGGTTTGAAATCTCTGATAACTGTTTCATGTTCCAGCAGCAATTTTGGCCCATTTGAGGCTATTCTTAGCCTTTATTTCTAGAGCCTCAGTTTTTATTGTAGTTCTTATTCATCCAACACTTGTCTGCACCTCAGCAAACTTAACTTACTACTTAGTCGGTAGATGCATCTGTAGTCAGGTATCTAGTTCAGTTACACTGGTCCCATCTACCAGGGTCGGCTCATTACATCCATACAGCTCACTGTGGTTCCCACTGTACTGTAGCTTCTGGATCTCCACATGGTAGCTGTCTTCTACTGATATTATTGCACTGAGCTGCTAGGTGCTGCTGGTTTTCTACTCATTCACAGTTCAAACATGCGCTGCACATAAACTCCTTCACTGGGTTGGCTGGTAGTTAGAAAAAATTTATTATAATATGCAACACTGTAAAGTAACTATAATTGTCAAATAATTGCAGTTGAGTAAAAAATGATTATTCTCCTGTGTTAGTTCGGTATGTTGAAGAACCAAAATCCCTGCCAAAAAAGCCGTTCAGCCAGACACAGCTCCATTAAACACCAGATTAATTAGTACAGTTATAGCAAAGCTGCTAACGGGCTCTGTCGTCTTCTGCCCAAACTTCTGGAGACGACAACAGGAAGTGTAAAACCCGACCAGGACCTGTGGAGGTGACATCACAGGCAGCACACTCATGTTTGGCTTCATGCATGCTGAGAGTCTGAGAACGTCTCCTGCGGCTCATACTTGAAAATTGGCTTCTCACACATTTGTTCGCTCCTCTTTCACCACCTTACTGCCTCCTCAATGTTCCGACAGACTCTGGTGTGAACATTCCCGCGGTGCTTCAGGGTGTGTGTGTGTTGTCTGTTCATTTTTTATATAGTCATTTCTCATTTTGCCAGCAGCTTAAATATAATTTCAATGAAGCTGGAGAGAGTTAAGCTTCAATTCAAACTTCTCACAATGTGGAGAATTAAAAAAAAACAAAACAACAACAACCAATCAGTGAGATAAACCTGCAATTCTTCTAATGGCCAGTCGGTGGTGAATTTCGTGGTTTTACAAAAAAGTCAGGTTATTATCGAAGTTTATGAGAAACAGCCTTTGGCTCTGTTAATCAACGATCTCAGTAAACACTTTACTTTTTTGAATTTTTGTTATGTTTACTTTGAAAATTGTGGCTCTCATTAGTCAAACAGGAGGATAAATCAGGGCCTACTTTAGGTCAGACAGCATGCCCCCAGGCACAGACTTGTAAAGGACCTCGCCCGTCCTACATGATGAGTCTCACAGGCTAAGAAACACAAAAAACCAACATGCAGACGTGTTTTCTGTCTGTTTGCAGTTTCAACTCCATTTCTGGTCATTTGCATTTCCCCCCAGTTACACTGAACTTTAATAATGGACACTCTTCTCTCTGTTTGCAAACACACTGTATCAGCTGGTGCTCATTTTGCTTCTCCTTCTAGTTCTTTAGCTGCTCTTTATGTTCAGTCACCTTGAGTCTGATAGTTTTAAATCTCTTTATGAGAGTTAATTAGTACTTGAAACTCAGGCTCATGGGCCCCCGGGCCAATGTCAAGTAGGTCCTTTCACATATCCTTCCACATTATAAGTGGGACTACTTTGTGATGCACAAGTTGATAACTGATGAGCATGCAGGGCCCTCCTCATGTCTGATTTCAAACCAGCAGGACAGCGACCTCACACTATGACCTCACTAATAAATGGGTGATGTAATGTTTCCTGTAACCTGATTATATGCATATATATATATATATATATATATATATAATAATAATAGCCATTTTCTCTCCATTCCAGCAGCATCATGACAGAAATATTAAATGTAGAAGAAGAAAAGATTATACACACACACACACACACACACACACACAGGCTGGAGTTTGAGTTTTCACTCAGTCCTACATTCACTGCCACACTGACCCAAATACTCACTTGAGCACCAAATGTCTGCTACTGGAAATTATCCAACAAACGCACCATTTCCTTCAATGTCAGCAACATTTGACAAAAATGATGTTGGACGATGTCCAGCCAATTCATCGTCCTACCTCCATCTAACTTCCATTCTCTTCTTCTCTCACTGGTTTTCTTTTGACTTTGTCCACCATGTTTTTCTTCATCTATACTTATCTCTATTCGTCTTCACATCTTTCTCCTTTTTCTACATGTTAGTCTCTCTGATGTCTTCCTCCTCCTCTTATGTAAGCATAAGCAATTGCATCTTTCTCCCACCGTGCCCTGCTCATCATTTCGCTCTCCCTCTATATTTACCCCTCAGTTCTCCTTTGTGATTGAGTTCTCTCACTTCGTTTTTTTAAAACTCTTTCTCCCATCTTGGTATTCTCTTCTTCTACATTGTGCTCCTTTTCCCTCCCTTCCTATCTGTAACCCCACGGAGCAGCAGCCGGCCCACAGCTGAACAGAGGCATGATGGGAATGTTTACACCCATATCTAATGGCTGAGTGACAAGAAGGAATTGGACTCTTTCAAAATCCTCTTTCTGATTATTTATCTGATCCTCTGTTGTCCATGCTTGTTCCCATTGTTTGTCCTTGTCTCCATATACATGGGCTGTAAATAATGTCTCTGTATGTTGTTATTAACTTGTGTGTAACATCAACCTGCCAGAGGGTCTGCAGATGGAAATTAACCTGAGGCTATAATCTGGCATATTTACATTTGTTAAAATGTTCATTCATATGTATTGTCCCTCTTTCTAATAAAAAAAGAAATAACAAAATGAATTATTTAATAATGCGGTAGAGTCCAACTATTTGGACAATAACAACTTTTCCTCCTGTGCACCTTTGTGTTTATTTTCTTCCACTGTTATTTGGCTTCAATAGGAATTTAAGCAACATTTCAATCCAACAAGAAGTCGTTCTATAATCCAGCTTCAGTGCTAGTGCAAACAGTGGCTTTCTGCGCTCATCTTTATACACAATCCATGATTAAGAAGCAGCATTTTAATAATGTAGCTGTATACTGTGTTACAGACAGAACCCGAATGGTTTTCACTGAGAATCAGCAGAGACTTGGTGACAGGGGAGAGGAAGAACTTCCTTTTACTTGGATTACTGGTCTCAGAGAGGATCAGTCATTTCCTGTGACTGGGTGAGGAAGGCCAGGGTGCGTGTACTCACTACAAAGAATACTGTAGGTAGAGAGGAAACCCTTAGCTGACAGGACAGATGGAGGAACCAGAATCCGATTCGCAGTCAGTCAGCAGAAAGAAAAAAGGGAAACGCTGGTTATTTCTGTGGTAATGTGCTCCAGGAGCCCACTCCATCACTTTGAACACTCACAGCTAAAGTGGATCCACTGAACAGAGACAACTCATCAGTCATCCATGTTGGAGTGCTCGACCAACGTGGAAGCCTCACCAAAAAGGAATCCTATTTTCCTGCTCTGCGTGCCCTCTGAGAATCACTGCCACGTAAAACATACACCGAATATGGAAATGTGTGTGTGTGTGTGTGTGTGTGTGTGTGTGTCTGTGTGTCTGTGTGTCTGTGTGTGTGTACGTGTGTGAGAAAAACACTGAGGAGTAAACCTGCATCCTCCTTCCCATCAACGCTGACACCAGTGTCACGTGTCACTCTTAGATGAGCACACTGGACACTTTTCTGTAAAATCAATCTTTGAGCCTCATAGGTTGGGCCTCGCTTCTTTATCGCTTCCAACATGGTATGAATGTGAATGCAGTCACACTGACGCAGCACGATTTGACTTGAATTTTTTAACCTGTAAAAACAGCCCAGCACACAGATATATCACCTGCTGCTGTAAGGGTTAACATAAAATCGAGTTGTTCCAAGTGACATTAATTGTTAAGGAATCATTGATCAAGGTTTGAGGTGTTTGGATCAAAACAGAAATAATACAAATCCTGAGCAAGTTCTTGACTCCGTGTGATGGTTTGAGGGCGCTTTGGTGGTCTGACAGTGGGAGACAGGGAGACACATCAAGAACAGAAGAGGTGCCAGAAGACCTTATCGGTGTCTTTATTATATTTATGTGAAACTTCTAAGCCTTGTGAGGATCTAAGCATGTAGATAATATTTCAATACATAAAACTATTTAGTCCTTTGGCACTAAATGCTGGCCCTGGATATAAATTGTTAAAAGGAGAATCATTAGATATGCATCCTCAGTTTTAATGAGATTAAAGCCAAGGCTGCTTACCTATATCAACAAAGTCTGTGGCAAAAACCCCCACAACTGGTACAATGTTTCCCAAATCGGTTCATTATAGTTTGATCCAGCACTACATTACAGATCAGAGGACTGCTGACATGATCCACAGAAAATGTAAGTTCATACAAGTGTCAAGGTTGAATTCAAAATAATTAAAAAGCAATTCATCCTGAAGCTGCACTGGCAGAGATACTGTGCCTCTAACATGTGACTTCCTGTGTTAGTATGTGTGTTATTAAAGCTTCTCGAGGAGACACCACGCAAAAACGTCTCTCTGAATGAAAAAGCAAACTAAACAGAAAACTGCCTCCATGCGTTTAAAAATGTAACTTCATAGTCAGACTGAAAGGAAACTGAGCCGAGCTGCAAAATGCATCTGATAATTGATGTGTTGCTGTCGCTGGTAGGATTCCTGCGACGCCGTCTGACCCAGACCGCAAGCCAGCGTCTATGAAAATTACACTGTGTGGATTCTCAGTTTGGACCGTGTAATGATTGTTGCGCGCACATCCTGAAATCTCTTCATACTCACTTTCCAGGTTTCCAGCCAGAAGGTAGAGCCAGGTGAGCAGGACGATGGCTGTGAGTGACGCCGCCAGCAGCTTTAGGCGCCCACGGCAAAGAAGGTTCATGATGGGACAGCGGCACTGAGGGCTCTGAGGGTCAGGGGTCGGGAAGAGGACGAGGGGAGGGGCGGGGTGGGGGTGGGGGTTATCAGGTGGGGCTCAGTCCCTCGGCAGGTCTCTGCAGCATCCTTTCATCTGAGTAGAGAAGAACACAGAGTCAAAACAGGACACTTAGAACAGAGCCGTCCGAGTTCAAGTCGTTACTGAAGAAAAATCTCAATTTAACCAACAAATACTGAGTTCACAAGATTTCAATGTGGAAAACTGACACATGTCCAGTTTTCCAAGCTCGTTTTGTTTCAAGGACGTCTAAAAACCAAGAACAATTTCTCTTCATTCCAGCTGATTGGGTCTCATCCCAAAGCAGTCTGCAGATTTCTTATGAGTGATTCATTACTATCTGAGTTAGAAAGCTTACGGTTCTAAGAAGTCTGGACCCAATCTGTAAGAGATCTGAACCACAGAAGAAGACACAATCACACGGTCCGAAAGTACCAGAGGACAGCCAGACCTCATCCAAGAGTCCTCACAGATGGCCCAAAATCACCAAACCAAACCCAGGCCGACACTCACAGCCTGTTACACTCATAATGATATTTGCTTTCGACCTCGATTATTGCACCTCTGTCTTACAGAGACACAATTTTACAAAACCAAGAGACAACTTTTAAAATCTGGCTCTTCATCACACAAACATTTACAAATACAACACTGACGCTTGAGGAAAAGTGCTGCTGGATACACTCGCTAACGCTGCCATGTGTGACACTCCTGTCGCTGGTCCACAACCTTCAAGGAGAAATGTATAACATCACAAAGTAACCACCTCCTGTGACCAGTTTTATTCACTTTTGTTACTAAATCAATATCCATCCATCAATTCGCTTATCCTTTTCAGGGTTGCGGGGGGCGCTGGAGCCTATCCCAGCTGTCATAGGGCGAGAGGCGGGGTACACCCTGGACAGGTCGCCAGTCTGTCGCAGGGCCAACACACAGGGACAGACAACCATTCGCACTCACATTCACTCGCACATTCACACCTAATGGCAATTTGGATTATCCAATTAACCTATCCCCACAAGCTGCATGTCTTTGGACGGTGGGAGGAAGCCGGAGTACCCGGAGGGAACTGAGACACAGAAATGGAAATCCTCGTCCAAAGTCTTTGACTTCAACTCAAATGTAACACGTAGAGCCTGAAAATGTGCCTGGTTAGCTCACCAATGAATAGCTGGTGAGCTGGTGGATGGTAAAAGATTGATGCCCTGTTGTGATTCATCACTACCATTTTTTCAGCCTTTATCTTCACAGTTTTGGCACATCTCTGTTCATTGTATCATCGAGTTGCTGCTCTTGGCTGGCATGCTCATGCCTGTCTGCCTCAAGGTTGGGCATCCTGTTAATCTGAGCTGCTTTTCAGCTCAGCACAGCTGTGGAGACTTAGTGAGCTACTGTAGCCTTTCAGCTCCAGCACGTCTGATCGCTCTCTGACTTCTCATCACCAGGACATTTCTTTCTGCCACACACCGAACGTTTTTCACATCGTTCTCGGTAAAGACTGGAGCCCGATGTGGTGAAAATTCAGGACGTCAGCAACAGAAATACTCAAACCAAAAAGCAAAGATGAAACCACTGCTTGGATGTGAACACGAGGCTCCTGAGCTGCATCTGCAGAACTTCATGGATTAGCTGACTATATAATTACAGGCAGACGCATTAGAGTCGATGTTTTAAAAGCATTCAGCTTGAGGTTTGGAGTCACCGTGCAGAGCTCACATGACTGTTTCAGTCGATGAAGCTGAACTGAACTGAAAGAAGGAGAAAGAGTCACTTTGCTCCATACACACAGAAAACTTGAAAAGGGGGAAAGTCCCATACAAGTTTCAGTTTAGCTCTCCATGTTTGTCAGTCCAGCTCTGTCTGTGCTGGCCTCCCTCCCTCTATGTGAGCCTGATTAGAGCGGGAGGTCTGTCTTTGTTTAACAACGTGATTCATTAATCCCTCTTTAATTAGACACAAGCTCGGAGAGGAGAGAGGGCTGCCAGTGGGAAACAGTATGGAAGCAAGCTCATAGCAGAAAGAAGGAAACTTTGTGCTGGAGGCTGCAGCTCACGTGGAAGAAAAATCTTCAAGAATATTTCTGCGTTTAATAACTAGGAGCTAAATTTACATTTTAAAAGCATTACTGAAGCGCTTAAACACCCGCTGACTTTGTTCCTTGGCCCGTTTAAACACAGGCTTGTGCGGCCATTAAACTGTCAGTCATTTGTAGTCCCCCATTTTCAGCCTCTAAAAAACGGGGACTACATATAAAAAGGGCTATAATTCCTCAACAGGTAATGCAGTGCTTTTATTAAACCCCTGCAATTAAAGCCGAAAGCCAGTGGTGGAGTACAAAGGCAACAAATTAGCATCGTCCAAATACTTACGCACTGCAGTGCAGCCATGATTTCTGGTGATGTTTCCTTGTTATACGTCATACACAGCAGATTCACAGGTAATATTTTATGTGTAAAAGTCTAAAAATTATGTTTAAAAACAAACAAACATGATCCTCTTTTCATTCATTTGCAAAGTTTTAAATACCCAAAAAGCAAAACCTCTGGTACTACATGAAGTACTGCTGACACACTTCTGATAAACTTAAGTATTTTTTGTCATCCAAACATGCAAATATGTAAAACTTGCCTGCAAGAAATATCCCCACGTATCAGCTGCACACACATCATTTTTCAGAATGTTTAATAAAAGTGTTTTCAGTCTTTAGCGGGGAAACCCATGTGACCACGTGATATGATAGAAAGCTCCAGAGCAGCTGCCAGACAGACTTAATGTTTTTTGTTTTGTTAAATCAACTATGTCTAGCATCAGGAATTAACTTTTGTTCTTCTTCCTGCCATTTTTGTGTCACATCTGTGTCTAAGAAGGTAATCAATTCCCAACAACAGGAGTGGCACCAAGGTGGGGCCAAAGGGGGGCACTGCCCTTACGCCCCACCCCACAACTTAAAAATGTTGAAGTGTTCCCTTAATTTTTTTTAGCAGTATATGGAGTTGGTAACTGTAACAGCTAACACCTAACACAATGCATGAGCTAACTTAGCAACCACAGCATTTTTAAATTAAAAAACAAACAAACACAAATGTGTGGTGCTCAGTGCTGCTGTGGGGTCAACAAGGCTGTCAGAGCAATAACTCTTGGGTGTTACTGTGAATGTTAGCAGGATATCATGCCTAACATAGTTTCCCCTTCCTTGCTAATTGTCCACTCCACCCACATTACCATCACCTGTTTGACTCAAATGTTACAGGATTCCAACAAATCACTTTACCAGCAAATCGACTGTTTAATAATGGAGCTGAGCTCTGTCAGGTGTTTGAGCTGAATTGAAATGTTGATTCAGTTTTTACCACACGTTATTCCCACGAAACCTAGAAGGAGAAACACTGAGAAAATTTACAACGACTTAAACCACAAAAAAACCCAAACTGTTATTTGTGGTTCAGCCCCACATGGTTTAAAGTGATGCATTATTAAAACGACAACAATTATCTGCTGTAAAAGTGGATCACACTGCGCGCTGAAAGGCTCTCCAACACTCTGCCAGACATTTCAACTTTCCAACTACATAGAGATGATTTATGAGTTAATTAGTGAGGCTGATGTATGCGCTCTATGTCGTTAAGAGCAATGAAAGGTGCTGAGACAGGAAGAGAGGAGGAGGAGGAGAGCTGAGATGGAGAGCAGGGAGAGTAAAGATTAAGAAGAGGGGAGAAGGAAGAGAAGTGTGGTGGGGGGAAGAGAAAGAGAATGAGAGAGGCAAGCAAAAGAACAGGGAAAGAGATAAAGAGGGAAGAAGTTTGAAAGATAAGGAAATGGGAGTGGGAACAAACAAGAAAAGAAAGAAGGGACAGGTAAAGAAAAAAGGAAGAGAAATGAGGAAGAAAAACAGGAGAAAATGTGAGGAAGAATATATAAAAAGAGAAGGGAAAGGTCAAGACAGGAAAAAGGAAAGGAAAAAAAGATAGGAAGAAAGGAATGAGGAAAAGAAGGGAAGCAGAGAGGTTAAAAGGGCATAGGAAGCAGAGGAAAGGTACTAGGGAATGAGATAAACAATGAAAAAGAAATGAAAAGAAGATTAAGGAGGTGTATAAAACAACGATCAAAGGGAAACAGAAAAAAAGAGGAGCAGAGGTAATTGGAGGTAAAGAATGAAATGAAAAGGAAGAGGCAAGGTAGCCATAGTACGTAGAAGATTACCAGATTCAGAGAAAAGCAAAAAAAAGCAAAAAGGAGAGGAAGTAAATGAGGTGGAGGCTGAACTATAGGTCGTGGCAGTGTACTGGACACTCCGCCTCTAACAGCCATAAACTCAGAGAGGAAATAAAAGGGAGGGGCAGTGCCACTAAAGAGGTGTTTAATAGGCAGCTTTTGTTGATTCTGCAGGAGCTGCACAAAACGTTTTCTCTGCTCTAATTGTAGCAGTAAAAACGCTGTGAGCGGGGAGCACCGGAGGACTGCGGCAGTCTGCAGCCCCCTCTGTCATCGAAGCAGCTGAGAACAGCACTGAAGGGACAGCGTGGGTGGCACCGGGGTGGAGGCACAACAACAGATAACTCAGTCTAATGGCTGTAAATTAAAGGATAACACAGCAACCACAGAGAAGCAACAATTCCTAAACATTCCTCTGCTATCATCCCCAAAGCAGCAATTCACTTTCATTCACCCGCAAATTAAATCAAAGCCGAGGGCTTTCGAAAACCGGTGCAACCATTTATGTCAAAAAGGACTGAAACACATCAACTAGACAGTAAAATTCATCCTCTGAAAAACATCACAAAGTTTTCCTGTCAAGCACCTGGTGTGTTACTGAATTACTGATGGGGCAGAACGAGTCTGTAGATCAGGGATGAGCAGCAGAAGAAGAATATGGATGACTGTCTGGGTGGTGGACAGGTTTAGAGGAGTGTTTGGTGTATGAAGAAGAGAGCAAGGCGTGTCCGCCTGAACTCGCTCCACTGATGCAAACCTGTACAGAAAACGACACACTCTGAGATTCTTACACTTCAGTCCTTAATGTCGCATTATGTAAAAATAGAAACTGCTGCCACAAAGAGCGACACTGTCAGCAGAGC